TGATTTCTTTTTTGATTTCTTCTATGATTTGTTGGTTATTCAGAAGCGTGTTATTTAGCCTCGATATGTTGGAACTTCTAATAGTTTTTTTTTTCCTGTAATTGAGATCTAATCTTACTGCATTGTGGTCAGAAAAGATGACTGGAATGATTTCAATTCTTTTGAATTTACCAAGGCTAGATTTATTGCCCAGGATGTGACCTATTCTGGAGAAGGTTCCATGTGCACTTGAGAAAAAGGTGAAATTGATTGTTTTGGGGTGAAATGTCCTATAGATATCAATTAGGTCTAGCTGGTCCATTGTGTCATTTAAAGTTTGTGTTTCCTTGTTAATTTTCTGTTTAGTTGATCTGTCCATAGGTGTGAGTGGGGTATTAAAGTCTCCCACTATTATTGTGTTATTGTTAATTTCCCCTTTCATTCTTGTTAGCATTTGCCTTACATATTGTGGTGCTCCTATGTTGGGTGCATATATATTTATAATTGTTATATCTTCTTCTTGGATTGAACCTTTGATCATTATGTAGTGTCCTTCTTTGTCTCTTTTCACAGCCTTTATTTTGAAGTCTATTTTATCTGATATAAGTATTGCGATTCCTGCTTTCTTTTGGTCTCCATTTGCATGGAATATTTTTTTCCCAGCCCTTCACTTTCAGTCTTTGAGGTGGGTCTCTTGTAGACAGCATATATAGGGGTCTTGCTTTTGTATCCATTTAGCCAGTCTTTGTCTTTTGGTTGGGGCATTCAACCCATTTACATTTAAGGTAATTATTGATAAGAATGGTCCCGGTGCCATTTGGTTTGTTGTTTTGGGTTCACATTCATACAACCTTTCTGTGTTTCCTGTCTAGAGAAGATCCTTTAGCATTTGTTGAAGAGCTGGTTTGGTGGTGCTGAATGCTCTCAGCTTTTGCTTGTCTGTAAAGCTTTTAAATTCTCCTTCGTATCTGAATGAAATCCTTCCTGGGTACAGTAATCTGGGTTGTAGGTTATTCTCTTTCATTACTTTAAGTATGTCCTGCCATTCCCTTCTGGCCTGAAGAGTTTCTATTGAAAGATCAGCTGTTATCCTTATGGGAATCCCCTTGTGTGTTATTTGTTGTTTCTCCCTTGCTGCTTTTAATATTTGTTCTTTGTGTTTGATCTTTGTTAATTTGATTAATATGTGTCTTGGGATGTTTCGCTTTGGGTTTATCCTGTTTGGGACTCTCTGGGTTTCTTGGACTTGGGTGGCTATTTCCTTCCCCATTTTGGGGAAGTTTTCAGCTATTATTTCTTCAAATATCTTCTCATGGCCTTTCTTTTTGTCTTCTTCTTCTGGGACTCCTATGATTCGAATGTTGGGGCCTTTCACATTGTCCCAGAGGTCCCTGAGTTTGTCCTCATTTTTTTAAATTCTTTTTTGTTTTCTCCTCTCTGCTTCATTTATTTCCACCATTTTATCTTCTACCTCACTTATCCTATCTTTTGCCTCCATTATTCTACTGTTGGTTCCCTCCAGAGTGTTTTTTATCTCATTTATTGCATTATTCATTTTTAACTGATTGGTTTTTTTTTTCTTCTAGGTCCTTGTTAAACATTTCTTGCATCTTTCAACCCTTGTCTCCAGGTTATTTATCTGTAACTCCATTTTGTTTTCAAGGTTTTGGATCATTTTTATCATTATTCTAAATTCCTTCTCAGTAGATTCCCTATCTCGTCCTCTTTTGTTTGGCTTGGTGGGCATTTTTCATGTTCATTTACCTGCTGGGTATTTCTCTGCCTTTTCATCTTATTTAGATTGCTGTGTTTGGGGTGGCCTTTTTGTATTCTGGTAGTCTGTGATTCCTTTTCATTGTGGAGGTTTCTCCCAGTGGGTGGGGTTGGGTGTTTGGCTTGTCGAGGTTTGCTGGTTAGAGAAGCTTGTGTCGGTGTTTTGGTGGGTGGAGCTGGATTTCTTCTCTCTGGAGTGCAATAGAGTGTCCAGTAGTGAGTTTTGAGATGGGTCTACGGGTTTGGTGTGACTTTGGGCAGCCTGTATATTGACGCTCAGGGCTATGTTCCTGCATTGCTGGAGAATTTGCATGGTATGTCTTGCTCTGGAACTTATTGGCTCTTGGGTGGTGATTGGTTTCAGTGTAGGTATGGAGGCTTTTGGATGATCTCTTATTACTTAATGTTCCCTGTAGTCAGGAGTTCTCTGGTGTTCTCAGGTTTTGGGCTTAAGCCTCCTGTCTCTGGATTTCAGTCTTATTCTTTCAGTAGCCTCAAGACTTCTCCCTCCATACAGCACTGATAATAAAACTTCTAAGTTAATGGTGAAAGGATTCTCCACAGTGAGGGACAACCAGAGAGGTTCACAGAGTTACATGAAGAAGAGGAGAGGAAGGAAGGAGATAGAGGTGAGCAGGAGGAGAAAAAGGAGGATTCAAGAGAGGAGAGACAGATCTAGGTTGTACTCTGTTCCCTAAGTGTTCTCCATAGCCCAGAATACCCACAGAGTTTCACAGAATTGGATTGAGAAGAGAAGGGGGAGGGAGGAAATAGAGGTGATCTAGGGGAGAAAAAGGAGAATCAAAAGGGGGAGAGAGTGATCAAACCAGTAATCACACTCCTGAGTAAAAATGGGTACTGAAGGTTGGATTGTTAAATGTCTAAAATTGATATCAAATACTGAAAAACAAAGATTAAAAATCTAGAGTAGAGGTTAGACTCTTAAAAATACAATAGTAAAAAACCGCAAAAACACAAAAAAATGTAAGAAATATATATGGAGTTCACTTTTAAAATAGGGTCCTTTTTTTTTTTTTTTTGGCCAGGTTATAGTGGGTTATGAAAATGAAAATTAAGGAGTAATAGAGGACTTTTAAAAAAAGAAAAAGTAAAAAAAGAAAGAAAAAAATTTTTAATTAAAAATAAAATAGTAGTAAAAATATATCTAGGAATTTCTCTGGAGCTGTTGTGGGCAGTGTGGGTTCAGTTCAGTTTCAGATAGCTCCTTGTTCGAGCTTATACCTCTCGCTATCTATAGGCCCCTTCCAGTGTAGTCGGTGTTAACTACAGGGATTTTAATCTGTTGCACCTGTCACTTCTGAAGAGGTTCCCTTTGTTTAATTGGCTTCTGTTTGCAGGTCTATTTAGTGTCTAATTTCCGCCCTGACACACGCGGGTGGAGGTGGTCTCTTGTTTAGGTTTGCTTGTTCAGTCGTGCTGTGGAGAGGGAGGGGCACTGCAGACAAATATCACTGGCGTGTGTGGGGAGCACTTGCAGTATTCTGGCCACACTGTGTCTGCCCCCGCTCGGGGCGGGTGTGTGTGCTTTCCCCGTCTACACTGCTCAGGCTCCAGGCTGCTCTCCAGGGAGCGGGTCCTGTGTTGCGTGGACTTCCCAGGCCTAAGCCACTCAGATTCAGGTTTTTGAGTATTCCACAATAGCACAGACTCAGTTGGGCCTGTGTTTTGTGCCTTCCCCGGTCAGAGCAGCTCAGGCAGCCAAGAGCTTGATGAGCGCACTCTCCCCGGGTGCAGGGCACCTTCTCCCCTCCGCGGTCCCAGCCTGAGTTTCCGTGCATGCCGGTTGGGTGCGCCTTGTGTCAGTTCTGGGGAGCTGGACTCTAGCTGCGACCCTCCCGAGAGATGTCGGCCATCCAGAATCTCAAGGAAGTCTTTGGTTAAAAGCTGGAAGCCTGTTTGCAGTTTGGTAGGGGGTGCTGTCTCTGGGGCCGAGTTTGCCTTTTTCCCCTCCCCTCTGCCTCCGGTGGGGGATGGGCCAGTCTGCAGCCAGCTAGCTCTTCTCTGGTATTTGCTCAGTCCTTCGTTCTGGGAACAGGCAGGTAGTGCCTAAGTTTAGGGCTTTTCCCAACTTAATTCTCTCTTGAGATCCCACAGTTTAAGTTGCTATCTCGCGTTAGCTCCCTCCAATTGCCCTCAGGGCATTCGGGCCCGGTCCTTACCCTAAGCAATGCCGCCCGCTCCTCTCCATTCCACCCCCACTTGCTGGGGGTGGATGCGAGCGTCTGGGGTACTTTTCTGCTGGGAGTTGCTTTTAAGCATGTAATCTGTGGGTTTTATTTATTTTTCCTCCCAGTTAGGTTGCCCTCCAAGATTCGAAAACTTCCCCCAGACCCACCAGTGAGAGGGTTTCCTGGTGTCTTTAAACTTCCTCTATTAAGACTCCCTTTCCGGGATGGATCTCCATCCCTAACTCTTTTGTCTCTCTTTTTATCTTTTATATTTTGTCCTACCTCCTTTCGAAGACAATGGGCTGCTTTTCTGGGTGTCTGATGCCCTCTGCTAGCCATCAGAAGTTGTTTTGTGGAGTTTGCTCAGCGTTCAAATGTTCTTTCAATGAATTTGTAGGGGAGAAAGTGGTCTCCCTGTCCTATTCCTCCACCATCTTAGTTCCCTCCTCTCCTATTTGTTTAAGAAGTGAACGTAGTTTGCCATAGCTAGGATTAGTAATTTTATACTTTATATTTTTCTTTCAAAAATGTCATACTTACTCCACAGTGAACATGTCTTAATTACTGCATGCTTGTTTGGAACCTCTAGACCCTTCCCACAAAATGTGTGGTATAAAATATGGAACATATTTCTCTCATAATTTCTAACAGTTTTCTACACTTTAAATTCTTAGTTTCTTTTCAGCATACTCTGATAGTCAATGACATTTAAATTCTTTCTAAATTCTTTTCTACATCAATATATTCAGTTTTGTCACTTCTGAATTCTCTGATATATAATTCTCCACTCGTGTAAGAATTCTGGATGAAAAATTGGTCACATTTATCAGATGCTTCTGGAATTATGCTTTTGTGCTCTTTCTTAAGTTAAATGAACATTAAATAGCATATGAAGTTTTTTACATTCTTGATATTTATAAGGTCACTCCCCAGGATGAATTGATATATAATATAATGAGGTATAACTAGTGAAAGTATCTCTATATTAATAGGTTATAAATTATTAATAGGTTATCATAATAGGTTATTATATCATATTATAGGTTATTAATAAGTATATTAATAGGTTTTATCTCCTGTGTGACTTTTCTGATGTTTAATGAGAGTTGACTTCCCACTGAAGGCTTTATCACACTCTCTGCATTCATAAGGTTTCTCTCCTGTATGCGTTCTGTGATGTACAATGAGAGTTGATTTCACACTGAAAGCTTTCCCACATTCACTGCATTCATAAGGTTTTTCTCCTGTATGAATTCTCTGATGTTTAATGAGAGTTGACTTCCTACTGAATGCTTTCCTACATTCACTGCACTCATAGGGTCTCTCTCCTGTATGTATTCTCTGATGTTTAATCAGTGGTGACTTTTCACTGAAAGCTTTCCCACATTCGTTGCATTTATAGGGTTTTTCTCCTGTATGAGTTCTCTGATGTACAATAAGGGTTGACTTCTCACCAAATGCTTTCCCACACCTTCGGCATTCATAAGGTTTCTCTCCTGTGTGAGTTCTATGATGGACAGAGAGATGTGATTTTCCACTGAAAGTCTTCCCACATATGCTGCATTCATAGGATTTTTCTCGTGTATGAACTCTCTGATGAACAGAAAGATGTGACTTTCCCCTGAAACCTTTTCCACATTTACTACACTTGTAAAGTGTCTCTTTTGTATGAGTTATCTGATGTTCAATGGGTGTGGGTGTCTCATCAAAGGCTTTTCCATGTTTACTGCACTCAGGTTTCTCACCCATATGAGTCCTTTGGTATATAAGGCTGGACTTATCACATTTGATAGCTTCATAAAATGCTTGTCTAATGTGTGTTTTTTCATGTCTAACAAGGTGATATGAACTCTTAAAAGCTTTTGCACATTTACCACATACAAATGGTTTCTCTCCTGTATGAGTTCGCTGATGTTTAGTCAGAGTTGACTTCTGGATAAATGTTTTCCCACATTCACTGCATTCATATGGCTTTTCCCCTGTATGAGTTCTCTGGTGTGCAATTAGGGTTGACTTCTGGCTGAAAGTTTTTGCACAGTCACAGCATTCATAAGGTTTCTCTCCAGTGTGAGTTCTCTGATGTACAACAAGGTTTGCTTTCTGGATAAACACTTTTCCACATTCAGAACATTGATAGAGTTTCTCCCCATTTTGAATTCTTGGACTTTTATTAAGAGCTTGCTTAGGGTGGAGGGCTTTTCCATGTTCATTAGGCTCAAAGAATTTCTCTCCAGATTGAGCTTTATCAAGATTAGAATGGAAGCATAATTTCCAATATGCCTTACATTCATCACCATTCTTTCTTACACAGCTTCTACTTTGACTAAGAAAAATGAAATTATGTTTTGAACACTCTCCCCATGAATAATATTTAGTGAGTCTTTGTCCTATAGAAACAAAGCCTGTGCTTGGATAAATGATTTCTCCATATGTTCTGAATTCTTGGCCACTTTTATCCTTCAGTGTTTCCTTATCTATGGATGCAGCTTGCCATAGAGGTTTGTCTTGGCTTTCCTTGTGGTTATCTGTCTGGTCATTAACTTTCCATAACTCTAGGGAAAAATGCAATGATTCATCAAACTTGTAAGTATTTCTATGATAATGTCATGGGACAAAATTCATTCATAAATGCACTGCTATGAACTCCTATTAATGGACCTGAGCTAATGTGAATAAACCCTCCCTATATTCCACCACCCTCCCTATACTCCATCACTTCCCTCAACTGTAAATACAAAGAAATGCTGGCCTATATTTAACAAAAATAATTTAATTCCCAGTCAAGCTCAAGACCAAGAAAATATAAATTTCAGACATCAAAAGTGAAATGGGAATTTAAGGTGATGGGGCAAACAAAAACTGAAGCTTGGGGGTTTACTGGGGAATCCAGACCACAGAGCACAAATGTTCAGGAAACTAGAATGTAATTTTCACTTAAAGTAGGAACCACAAAGGGTATCCATGCTTGTTAAACAGGAACTAGAAAGACTCCCCACTGGTCAAGGAAACTGGAAAGAATGATATTATATATAAGAAATTGAAGTCTGATATGATACTATATATAGAAAACCCTTAATACTCCACACAAAAACTACTAGAACTGATAAATTCAGCATGGTAGCAGGATACAAGATTAACACAGAGAAACTGGTTATGTTTCTTTATACTAACAGTGAAATATCAGAAAAACTGTTTGAAAAACTGTTTTTGTAAAAAAAAATTCCTTTTAAAATCACATCAAAAAATAAAATACTTAGGAATAAACGTAACCAAAGAGGTCAAAGACTTAATACACTGAGAACCATAAAACATTGATAAAGGAAATTGAAGATGGTCTGAAGGAAAAAAACTCCCATCCTCTTTGATTGGAAAAATTAATATGTTTAAATGGTCATACTACCCAAAGGAATTTACAGATTTAATGCAATACCTATCAAATTACCTATGACATGTAAATCAATGAAGTTAGAACACACTCTCAGACCATGCACAAAAATCAACTCAAAATGGCTTAAAGTCTTAAATATAAGACAGGATACCATAAAACTCCTAGAAGAGAACATAGGCAAAACTTCTCTGACATTAATCGTACCCATGTTTTCTTAGGTCAGTTTACCAAGGCAATAGATATAAAAGCAGAAATAAACAAATGGGACCTAATGAAACTTATAAGCTTTTGCACAGCAAATGAAATCATGTGTACTTAGTCACTCAGTTGTATCCAACTCTTTGTGACCCCATGGACTGTAGCCCACCAGGCTCCTCTGTCCATGGGGATTATCCAGACAAGAATATTGGAGTGGGTTGCCATGCCCTCCACCAGGGGATTTTCTTAATCCAGGGATTGAACCCAGGTCCCCTGCACTGCAGGCTGATTCTTTACCATCTCAGCCACCAGCTTTTGCACAGCAAACAAAACCATAAACAACTTGAAAAGACAACTTATGGACTGGGAAAAAAATATTTGCAAATGATGAGACTGACAAGGGCTTAAATATACAAACTATATTTGTATATTTCCAAAATTTGTATATTTCCAAAATATACAAACAGCTCATACAACTCAATAACAAGAAAACAACCTAATCAAAAAATGGGCCTAAGGGTCATGCTGGTCATCTTGTGGTTCAGGTTGTCCTTGGTGAGTACTGTGTCAAGGGAGGGCCCTGGGATGCAAGGAGGTGTTGTTTCTAAGGATCCTTTCTGCCTTCCTGAAAAAAGGATAGACACAGAAAGGCTGGTAACTGAGTGTTTGAAAAACTGTTCTCAGGTAAGAAGAAAGTGTATTTTGGGTATCCCTGGTGGTCCAGTGGTTAAGAATTCACCTGCCAAAGCAGGGGACATGGGTTCAATCCCTGGTCTGGGAAGATCCCACATGCTGTGGAGCAACTAAACCTGTGCACCGCAACTACTGAAGCCTGAACACTCCAGGGCCCATATGCCTTCACTACTGAAGTTGCATGCTGCAACTACTAAAGTCCATGGGCTTAGAGCCTAAGCTCCATGATAAGAGAAGCCACTACACGGCAATTAGAGTAGCCCCTGCTCACTGCAACTAGAGAAAGCCTGCATACAGCAACAAAGACCCAGGATATCCATAAACAAATAAATGGACAAATAAATTTGGGGGGGGGCGCTTCCCTGGTGGCTCAGATGGTAGAGACCTCCTGCAATGCAGGAGACTGGGTTCGATCCCTGGGTCAGGAAGATCCCCTGGAGAAGGGAATGGCTACCCACTCCAGTATTCTTGCCTGGAGAATCCCCATGGACAGAGGAGCCTGGTCGGCTACAGTCCATGGGATGACATAGAGTCAGACACAACTGAGCAACTAACTCATTTCATTTTGGGGGCTCTCCAGGTGGCACAGTGGTAAAGAACCCGCCTGCAAGTGCAGGAGATGCCAGAAACACATTTGATCATTGGGTTGAGAAGATCCCTGTAGAAGGATATGACACCCTACTCCAGTATTCTTGCCTGGGAAAAATGGACAGAGGAGCCTGGTGGGTTATAGTCCATGGGATCACAAAGAATTGGATATGACTGAGCACACATACACAAATAAATTTTTAGAGTTCCAATTTAAAAATCAAAAAAGACACATGCACCCCATGTTCAATGCAGCACTATTTACAATAGCCAGGACATGGAAGCAACCTAAATGTCCATCAACAGATAAAGGGATAAAGATATGGTACATATATACAATGGAATATTACTTAGCTATAAAGAATGAATTTGAGTTGTTTTATAAAGATGTGAACAGACTTGGAGTCTGTCATACAGAGTGAAGTAAGTCAGAAAAATATACAGTAATGCAGACATCTGTAATCTAGAAAAATGATACTGGTCAACCTATTTTCAGGGCAGGAAAAGAGGTGTGGATATAGAGAATGGACTTCTGGACAAAGGGGCAAAGGAGAGGGTGGGAAAAATTGAGAATAGCACTGGCATACATACAGTAGCACGTGTGAAACAGATATCTAGTGGGAAGCTGCTGTATAACACAGGAAGCTCAGCTTGGTGCTGTTTTGACATAGAAGAATGGAATGGGATGGGGAGGAGGAAGACTCAAGAGGGAGGAGATATATGTATACATAAGGATGATTCACTCTGTTGTACAGCAGAAACTAACACAACATTGTAAAGTAATTATATGGCAATAAAAACATTTTCCTGAACAAAAAAACAATGGGCACAAGACATAGACATTTCTGCAAAGAAGACATACAAATGGCCAATAGGTAGATGAAAAAAATGCTGAACATCACTAATTATCAGAAAAATGCAAATGAAAACTACAATAAAGTACCACCTTATACAGGTCAGAATGTCCATCATTAAAAGGTCTACAAATAAATACTGGAGAGGGTGTGGAGCAAAGGGAATCCTCCTATAATGTTGGTGGGAATGTGAATTGGTGCAGCCACTATGGAAAATAATATGGAGGTTCTTCTAAAAACTAAAAAGAGTTGCCATATGATCCAGCAATCCCACTCCTGGGCATATATCTGGACATAATCACTAATTCGAAGAGATACATACACCTTATGTTCATAGCAGCACTATTTATAATAGCCAAGACATGAAAACAACCTAAATGTCCACTGACAGATGAATGGGTAAAAAAGATATATATACCAAAGTGGAATATTATTCAGCCATAAAAGAATGACATAATGCCATTTGAAGGAACATGGATGGACCTAGAGATTAACATACTAAGTGAAGTCAGAGAAAGACAAATACCATATGAAATCACTTATATGGGGAATCTAAAATATGATACTGCTGCTGCTGCTGCTTCTAAGTCGCTTCAGTCATGTCCAACTCTGTGCGACCCCAAAGATGGCAGCCCACCAGGCTCCCCCATCCCTGGGATTCTCCAGGCAAGAACACTGGAGTGGAATGCCATTTCCTTCTCCAATGCATGAGAGTGAAAAGTGAAAGTGAAGTCGCTCAGTCGTGTCCGACTCTTAGCGACCCCATGGACTGCAGCCTACCAGGCTCCTCCGTCCATGGGATTTTCCAGGCAAGAGTACTGGAGTGGGTTGCCATTGCCTTGTCCCAAAATATGATACAAATGAACCTATATATGAAACAGAAACAGGCTCACAGGCATAGAGAACAGACTTGTGGTTGCCAAGGGGGAGGGGGGATGGGGGAGAGTTGGACTGGGAGTTTAGGATTAGTAGATGCAAACTAGTATGTATAGAATGAATGAATAAGGTCCTACTGTATAGTACAGGGAACTAAATTCAATATTCTGTGATAAACCATAATGGAAAAAAATATAAAAAGGAATATATGTATGTATAACTGAGTCACTTTCTGTACAGCAGAGTGTAAGGCAACACTGTAAGTCAATTATACATTAATAACATAAAAAAATCAAAAGCCTAGTTCTGTAACTCAATCCAAATGATTATAAGTGTAATAGAGAGCCCCCAAGCTAAAAAATTAGACTAAAAATTTGTCCTGTATTAGCACGTTCCCAGTGGTGGCACGCCTTCCAAAAGATGTATTTTTTGTATTATAGCTTAGGGCTCACAGGATGTCTATGGAATACCAATTATCACTGAAGAGTTAACAGTAAAAAATTATCAACCTCACAAGGAAATGGCCTACTATGAAAGAGAAGCAGTAGATATATTTAAAGATACCCCCATTTCTAGAACTATACCTAGTAAAACCATGTGGACTTCAAGATAAATATATTTCAACTGTTCAAAGAAATAAGGGAAGAACTCTACCTACTTTCTATCTAGTCATAAGACAGATTTAACAAATTAGGTGACAGATGTTGAGATCACCCAGAATGTAGCATGAAGAGCTAACAATGGAAATATGGTAAGAGAAATAGAGAAATGATAAGTTCCAGAATAGGTTTAACAGCTAATCCAAATAGAGGACTAGAGAAAAAGGGAGAGGCAATATGCCAATAAATGGGTTACTAGAGCAACACTGAGACTGCTATACTTAGAAAGGCCAGCTTGCAAGGCTGGCCCTTGGCTGCCATCTGGGAATTTAGAGTTCAGGAATGTCCCCACCATT